TGTTGTCTGTTGAGGTGAGCTTCAGGTATAGCTCACTCAATGTTTTATGTGGCCTTGTGTAATTTGTAATTTGTACATGTTTATTGTATATTGTGTTACATGTTGTTTTGTTGTGTGCACGTTACAGTTACTTCAGTAGGTTATTGGATACGTGCTTTTATAATACTTGTTTTTGTAGCTTTTAGCAATGTTTGAATTTTGTTTTTTTAGGGAGCCTTTTATAAAATCTGGCCAGGGACAACAGATGAAAATTAGCCTTTTGGCTAACTCTGGCATATTTACTGAAATGTTTTTATTAATATGCAATGTCCCTGTAAATAAAAAAATTAAAAAATAATAATCTTAAATTGTAACTAAAAAAATATGCCAAAAAGAGATTCTGCGAGTTGCTATTCTGGATTGGATCATTTCTCTTTACAAAGAAAATAAAAACTTGCATGAAACACACTCCCCCCCCCCGACTGCTTCTTTTAATGTGATGTCGGAACAAGAGTCCAAAATATACAGCTGTTAAATTTAAATACACGAGAGAGAGAAAATAAAAGAAGAGGCATACTTAGTAATTATCAAACAAAAACATTTTGCTCTATTCTGTGAACTTTTGGCATCAAAACAAATGAATCCAAACAGCAAAGGTTTGTCCTGAGCTTTTTTAGTTTTGGACGTGTTGGTGATTCAACACAGCTACATCCTGGATATCTCTATATTATTTCTTAGTTTAAAATCATGAAAACAATCGAGCATTTGTATGCTTTTGTTTCTGTAAGTTACAGCGCTTCATACATATTTAAAAAAATATATAATTGAAGAATAACAGGATAGAAAAAGAAAAAAATGTATTCAGCCTTTTTACAGATAGCAAGAGACAGCTTGTTTATTTGTAAAATCAACGAGTGAAACATAAACATCTCTTCATGTGAACACATTGCATTTAATCAGCAGGAGGGGAATTTGAAATCCATGGCTTGGATTGAAGGGGAGATCAATTCAAAGTTGTAATGACACATCGGTGTGGGGTAACTGCTCAGAAATTCACATTAAAAACGAGACAGGTTTTCCCTTTTTCAAATAGGCAGACTGAGGAAAAGACAGTGGACTACAACAGGCTGCAGATACACATGCAGTGATGTCACCAGACCAGAGTCAAAGATCCGCTTCTCGAGCTTTGAGAGACTAGCAGAAAGGAGGGAAACTAGTCGGGTGATTAAAAACATTAGCACACCATAAAAGACAAAAATCCACTTTTAACACCCAATAGGACCGTCTCACTCCTCAGACCCCCCCCCCCCCCCCCGACTTCAAGTAATCCCTCCAGCACTTCCATCACTTCAAGTATTCCCGCCGTAGACTTCAAAACTTCAACACCACTTCTTAGGTTTTTACCACATAAGCTATGATATAAGTGCACTCAAAGTTCATCTATACATAGAAAAATAACATTAAAGTAGCGGCGGTAATAGTTTTAACAAATCACTTTACAATTTCATTTTATACACAACCGTGATGTTAAATACCGTGGCGTCACAATCCCCCACCCCCTGAGTGTAATGTTCAAGTTTAACCTTCTGTGTGGATGCTAACCGGCAACCTTAGTCGGGTTATTTAAATACCATTAGTAATAACTGACAGCTCCAATGATTAGACTCTGAGTCATTCTTCCTTTTCCACAGACCCCTTGTGCTTGTGTGTGTGATGCATTATGTACAAGCTGCTGATCGATCAGCCTGCTCGCTGCAGTCAGACACTGACAGCCTTCATCCTGGAAAAAAGAAAAGAAAAACAGCGTTATACAACTCATACAACTCTATGCAGATGTTGACCACATGTGATTACATTATATTCTCTTATTTATAGACTCTTATTTGTGTAAATATTTCTTGTACCAATTATTAAAATCTTACTTACATATTCTATTTGATTAATATTTGTATTTCTATATTTCTCCTGCTATATTGTTTATTTTGGAGCAACTGTAACGATCCCTCTGGGATTAATATAAAGTATTTCTGATTCTGATCGACTGTAGTGTGAACACCTTGAAAGGTGTCACTCTGACTTACTTTTAGTCTCTCCGATGGAGCGGACCGCCCGCCTGCCTCAGGAGCCGGAGACGATGCAGCTCCGGCATTTGTACAACTTGGGGTCGTGGGTGCGGATGTGGTTTCTTACATTTCTCAGTCGAAAGAACGTCTTACTGCAGAGCTACAGAGCAGAGAGGGAGAAGTGAAGGCAAAGTTTACTGAAAGAAAGTCAAGTACTCCCCCCGTGCAGATCCTTCTGGTGGGGAAAAAATAAATCCTAAATAGGGAAAGAGGTAGAACGGCCTTTCAACATCACTGACTGATATAAACATCGATTAGTTAATACACATTTCAAAGTTTATTCTATCACAATCGACCATATTTTACAAAACAAAGACACAACGCTTTAAAGTCATCTGTAAGTGGAGAAATATAGTTTAATTGTAACAGACAGCTTCAGCTCATAAAATGAGAATATCGTGAACATTTTTATTTTGTTCCCATATTTTATTATGAAGTGAAATTTCTAAATATTCTAAATTCTTTAGAAATAAAGTAAAATATTTCAAGCCTTCTTTTGTTTTAATCTTAATGAGCTCATAAAAAAATGAAAATCAAAGATCTACAAATATTAAAATATTACATTAAAACAATGAAAAACAGGAAACAGGTTATGAATCAGAGAAATTAACATTAATGTCTATTTGTGACCTTCAGTTATCTTAAATGTCAGAAACTGCTGTTGTGGGGAAAAGGTGTCGGACGGTTTTCCGTGCCAAATATTCAGGATGATTTTGCTTCATGCAAAACCAGTGCTTACCAGACACGGCCAGTGCTTCCCCTCGATGTGCCTGAGGCGATGCATGATTAGAGCGTCGCAGTCCTTGTAGGAAGTCGGGCACTGCAGACAAGCGTGGGCCGCCTTCGGGAGTTTGGGGACTTGACTACGAGGCCCGCGGAGCTGCTTTAGCCTGGCCCGACTTACAGCATCCGTCATGACGTAGCTCCTGCTGCTCAGAGGGAGGGGGCGAGCTTGTTGCTGGAAATGAGAGGGAAAAGAAAATCAAGGATGAAAATTACTCAAGATGTCTTCTACATGAAAAATAACAGAAACGATGAAAAGGAAAGAGGGTGAAGGGATAACTTCATAAATAATTCCTGCTACTTGTACAGATTATTACTGAGGTTCTCTTAAGCCTGGCTCACACTGTGCGATTTTCCCCCGATTGTTTAAGTCGGGGTGTCATGTCAGCTCACACTGTACGACTGAATCGTTTACGACGCCCTCAGACCTTGAGATCGACGTGCTCACACTGTATGAGCCGATTGTCGGCACGGCCGGAGAGCTCACACTGTACGAGTGAAATCTGGGCGGAGCGTTGACAATTGTTAATAAAGTTTCATTTGAATACTCCAACAGACGGCGGTTGGTGAAAGAGAAGGAAGTGGAAGTTGTTGTAGGATATAGAAAAGTTGATACAATCGTAGATATATGGAGACAAGTTTGTGCTGCACTGATGATCTGTACAGAAAAGTAAAAAACGGGTTGCGTCCTGCTGGTCGCCATGACTACAGTCCTCCCTTGTCTGATTATATTGTAGTCACACACAACTTCTGCCGGACCCTTTCATGACAAAATCGTCAAGATTTTAAATTCTAAATATCAAACATGTTTGAAATAAATCGGGGCGTCCCCGACGATCGCCGGGCAGATCGGGGACGTTAAGATTGGATCTTTGGACCGCTCACACTACGAGATAATCTGAGCAGAGAATCGGGTCCGAGCAGCCTCGAGTCGGGAGAGACCCTGAGATTGTTGGGAAGAATCAGAGCTCAAATCGGCCCGATGATCCTGCAGAGTGAGCCGGGCTTTAGGTACGCTGGTGAGGTGGATTGTAGGCTACACCAGTAAAGATCTAGTGTTGTTCTTTGCTGCTCTGCTCCTGGATGGTTTATAGTGCATCAAAAAAAATCACTATCAAGGAGAACTCCTATATTTACCTTTGGCTTGGTGGGTTTGGCCTTTGAGCGGACCGCCTTAGTCGTGTGATGAGCGTTGTTTCTTGAGTTGGGCCTCGGTCTCTGCGCCTTGCTCTGACTCACACTCCTCTCCTCCCTCTCTCTCTTCACCACAGTCAGAGGGGGCGCTCTCGCTCTGAGCGTCCTGTGAGGAGAATCCTGCGTCGCTCCAAATTTCTCCCTGACTTGCGACACGGACCGCGTCAAGCAGATATCCACGCTCTCCTCCTCTTTCTTCAGCACGGCCATGGCGCCCCCCGCGGGCCGACAGAAGCTGAACAGGAAGCCCGAGTCCAGCAGCTTGATGGGCGGCTTGCTCTGCCTTTTGCCCAGATCTGGCGAGGGAGGATCGGAGAAAGGCACGCCCACCGGCACGGGGTCTGCGGCTCCTCTTTGATGACTTTGTAAAGAGGGTGGTTGTAGATGGAAGGGGGAGGGGCCTGCTCTGTAAACTGGAGACCGCAAGGTTCGTCATCAACCTTTGTTCTGGTCTGGTATCCACGACCCCCCTCTGTCCTGGACCGTCCACCTTCTTCTCGACCTCCTTCATGAAGCCCCGCCTTAGCTTAGCCTTAGCCGCTGGTCGCCCGCTGTTGTACCGCAGCACTCTCACCGTCTCCACAGGGACTTTATTTCTCGCCTGCGTCCTCTGTGCGGTCGGGGACTTTTTAGGTGCGACACCGCAGCTGCCGTTTGATGGAAGTGAAAAACCTGAGATGGAGAAGTCGTCGGCCGGCTCCTGCTTGATCCTGACCACAGTTTTGTTGGTTTTGTGTCGCGGAGGCTTCTGAGGGTGGGCGCCTTCCCCCCTCCTCACCGACTGTCTGAGCTCCCTCCCACCAACGCACGGCCTCCTGGCTGCAGGCAGAAACATGTCAGGTATCGCACCTTTACTCTCCGCATGCTCCTGTCACTGGGCGGGACGTGTCGGGAGACGACCTTAGGCCTCTTCGTGGTCATGTGATCGGCGGTGAGACCCGTTAGCTTGGGCTTCCCCGACTTGCTGAGGAGGCGAGTGTTGACCGGGTTACAGAGAGGAAGCGACAGCGTCACGTCCCCGTACGGCAGTCCCGGCGGTGAAGCGGAGCGAGGTTTCCGCCTCTTCGTGAGCGAGTAATTGTTGGCCTTCAGCTTCCTCAGTCGCTTCTTCTGCCTCCAGCCGATCAGATCTTCGGGTCTGGGCAGGAGGGCGGTCCTCTGTAACCGAGGACGTTCATCAGCTTGTATTTCTCCTGCGCCCTCGCGTAATCCTCCTCGTCCACTGCGACCTCCTCCACCTCTTTCTTCACCCTCACGGGGCTGCATGCGGCGCCCTGCCTCGTCCTGGAGGAGGGGCACAAAAGCCGGCCGATGGGATGTGGTTTCTTGTTCCGTCGAGGCGTCTCAGGCTTCGGGAGAAACCGCTGAACCTCCTCGGCGGCTCCGGGAGTCGAGCGGAGCAGACGGGTGTTCGGCGGCGACTTGGTGGGCGAGTAGTTGTGAGACTGCGGGAGCACGCGTTGTGTCGGGGCGTGGTGGCTTTCTTGGAGGAGGGAGATTTAAAGTCCATGAGCTTCATCCTGTGTGTGGGACTCAGAGGGAGACCGTTGGGGCTTTGGCGTTTTGGCGTCCTTCGCAAATTCCGCCTCGGACTTCCATCAAAAGACTCGTCGGACGCGTCCAGAGTCAGACTGAAACTTTTGTCCATCGTGTCCCCGAGTCCCAGAAGCCCTCTCTTCTTGTTGTCCCTCTGCTGGCGGTGACAGGCGAGGGGAAATCCTTTGCCGTGTCGAGGTTTCTGTTCCCGCTCTTTCATGAGAGCGGCGCACGCCTCCACGGCGGCCACATGCCCAGGTGGGCGGCCATGGCGATGACCTCGGGTAGGTCCTCCTGGCGAACGCACAGAGTGGAGGAGTAGGAGAAGTCCAGCAGAGACAAAAGGCTGTCCTCACTGAAGCCTGAGGGGGTAAAAAAAAAGAAAAGAGCTTTCATTAGATGAAGCCTGATGGTCAATCAGAGGGTGAGGTGAAAACGTCTCAGTAGAAACACAAAGACAACATGTCAACATGATGGTGGAGACTTTAATCTGCTCAGATATAAATCTGACGAATTACGAAAAGAGAGAAAAGTTTGATCCACAGTGACAGACAGCTGGAGGAGCTGGAACACGTTAAAGTTAAAGACTAGATCCTGCTAAAGATAAAAGTTATTCACAAAACATGTTAGCCCTTAAGAGAGCTCCTAAAGTAAAGATGTAAGGATGAAGAGTTTCTCACAGAGAAGAAAGAAGGAGAGATTCCAGATCTATCACAGCCTCATATTAATATCACATTAAGTAGACTCTTACAGTTAGCAGCATGGTGAATAAACAGGAGCACATAGATATAAGAAAAATACACAATATGTTTATAATTAGAGCTCAATTCAAAATAAAAGTTGTAATTGACTTTTGCATCAGAATGGTTCAAGAGTAAATTGGTGACTGTTATTCTTCGAATCAAAAGTAATGTTCCTGGGCCAGCGGCTACATGGGTCGGGCCACTGATCTCTGAAACCCAGTGGACCAGAGGGCCAGTGATCTCTGAAAACCAGTGGACCAGAGGGCCGTATATCAAAGACACAAGTATATGAGCAGGCAGATTTTGGTTGAGTCCCAATTCAGACCAAACATGTCACAGCAAACCGACGACCTTTCTAAAAAAGAACAGTAAAGCTGAGATATGCAGTAATCTGTCACCTGTAGTATCAGCACTGTCTCTCTTTTTCCAACAGATCTTTGATAATGACTGATGATGATGTCAACTCAAATCAGGTATTGTCATGTGACTGCATTCAAGAGGGGATTCATCAGATATCAGATAACTGCTTCACCATTTGGAGGGTCGATATAATAGATGAAAGAGAGGACACTACTTGTGTTGGATCAGATTAATCACAGGACTTACAAAAGAAACATTGCTGATAAACATTTACATTTATCAATACATCAGTCAGAGAGATGAGCTGATCAACACAATGATCATCAGTGATGTGATTTCAGACTTTTTAAGAGAAAACTTTTGTATGTCGAGGTGGTCATACGGGAACGAGAGCTTCCATTTGTGCAAAACAGAATGTGGAATGATTCACTGCTGAGTATTAGACTGCAGTGTTTCCTCACTGTTTACATTCACTTTGAAATGTAACAGAAGAACAGAGTAGATAAAGAACTATGAGACACCTAATGGGTCAGCATTGACGCTGAGTTTTTGGTCATGTCTGGAATTATGGGTAATGTATTCCCTAGTAGGTGTTGAGTATTAGTATCCAGCTGTTTGTTTTGGGGTCATCTTGTTGCCTGAGTTATTACTGAATTCTGATGTTTGGGTTCTGATGTTGGTTGGTTGGTCGGTTTGGGTTCTTCTACTGTCGAGGTTTTGTTGTTGTTGGTTGGGTGTTTTTTCTGTGGGTTGCTTTCAGAAAACTTTGTTGTGATTTTCTGTTGTGATTTGGGTTCTTATGTGTTGTTGTTAGGTTTTTTCTTCTCCATTGTCAAAGCACTTTGTAAAACCTTGTTTTTAAAAAGTGCTATTCAAATAAAGTTTTTTGTTCGAGCTGGCGTCAAAAACCCAAGTTTGGGTCTGACTCTGTAACAGTGGTTAGAGAAGGTCAAGATGGGTAACTGACTACAGTGAACACCTTCAAACAGACTCTTTAAGGTATTCCTAAAACCCCTTTCAAAATGTGCACTCATGAAAATGTTTCAATATCTGCATGTGTGAACGCAAACAGCCGGATCCATCCACACTGACTTTATGCAGACTCCTCCTCCTGCATACATCACTCAGCTATAATCTCCCGCTGTGAGGTGCATGTATGAAAGACAAGTTCTGGAAAATATCAGGGGCTGTATGTCCTGGAAATATCTAGAGCATGTCAGGAGTTCATGTGTAACAAGGTCTCTTAGTGTTGTAGAAACTAAAATAATGACCTTTAACAACTGAATGAGAGAAAACATTACGACAGAAGTTCAAACCCAATTCAGTTTTCACCTGAACACACGTGTGGCTGATTGTTGCTTTACATGGGTGTAAGTTATGGATACAGTATTATTAAATTATTAAAGTTTAATTTTTGTTAAAAAAAAAGAAAAAAAGATGTTTAACAAATCTAAAAGGTTGGTTTGATTCTTTTTTGTGAGTGTGACTTCTGTTTTGTTTTTTGTTTGTTTTGTTTTGAAAGAAATTCTTGGAACAAATTTTGTTCTGACATGTTTTTTTTTTGTTTGTAACCAAACTAGTCGTGTCTTAAATAATAAGATTTGTAACGAGGGGAGGTGTAATAAGATGAAGCTTCAACACCTTTTCACTCAAAGTGTTTTTGTTTTTTCTTGTGACCAAAATAAATGATTACTACTACTTATTGGATAGTGCAATGCTCAAACTGTTCTTACAGTTGGTGTCAACAGGGAGGGACTGACTCCATCAGGGCACAAGGTGCAGACTCTTTCAGGTTTTTATACGCGGCCCCCTTAACTGAGAAAAAAGCACAAGCAGTGATGTTCTCTTGTGTTAGTTTGGCCTCTAGTTATCTGATCTTACCGGTGAGATCTATGTCTGCTTTCATGCCTGAATCCATGTCTGTGAAGATTTCCTGGAAGTGATCGCTGACGGCTGCCAGCACGGCTCTGTGGGCCGAGTAGGATCGCCCGTTTGTCCGCAGGGTGATGTCACAGAAGAGCCCCGCCTCCCGCTGACTCCTCAGCTTGCTCAGCATGTCGGTGCCGTGCGATGACATCGTCTTAGTGACACATCTTCTACCACCCTGCTCCTGGGGGGCGACAACAACAGAGGCAGATACGGAGGCAGGGTTATACAAATAAATATGTGAGAGGATTGTTGGAGACATTAAAGTGTGAGGACAGGATTAACAACCAAAACAACCAAAAGTATTTGAAAGATTAAAGTCTTTATATGTGATGTTTTGATCCAGCAGGTGTCGCCCTTGAGCACCAGCATGAAACCAAAACAACTCGCGCTGCATTGTTGTGTTAGCATGCTAATGCTAGCGATCTTTATTATGCTGGTATCTTCACACTGCATGTAAATTTAGCTGAAATGAGCGTGATCTAGAAACACAGTTAAGCAGTGAGTACAGTATGTTATTCTTCTTTTCTCTAGTCCCTCAATTAAACAACTTTTATACACGAGGGGAGGAGTCAGCCGGCCGTCCCGGCGATGTAAACAAAGTGAAGATAGGACTCTGAAAACTCTGAAAACATCACAGACAGTGGGACTCGGGTGTTACACCCATTGTAGACAGTCATGACTCACAGAGTTATTTTCAGAGGATAAACTTGATTTATATATTTAAGGGTGAAAAATCAGAGAGGAAGACTTTAAAAATAGGATTCTGATAATGATCACAGGACAGTGATATGGTTTACCTCAGTGTTTTTGGTTTGCTGCCTCTGACACTCTTGACAGGCCAAGACAAAATCTCTGATCTGGAAGTACATCCCTGTGAAGAAAACACAAGAGGAAACTTCAGACAACACAGAAAAATGTCAAAGCAGGAATCAACATCTGTCTCATTTGAAATAATTCATATTTAAACAAGTGTCCTAATCTATGACTGATTTAATCATTAGTTGTTTAAGACACACAGAAATTAACAAACCCTTTTTGTTAAACATATGGACATTTTCTTTTATTATTAATATTTTCTCCCTGTTCTCTTCTTCTTTTCCTCCATCTTTTTATGATGGCCACATCAACACCAAACATTTTATTTTATTATATATATATATATATATATATATCTTTTCTTTTCTTTTCCTCTCTATTATCTTTAATTTTGTTTCTGTTTATTTTTCTTGCCACTCACTTTAATGCCTCACACTGCCACACACACATTCACACGTTTCTTACACACTACTTCAACTTACCACTTGACTTTTATTATATCTACTTTAATTATATTTGTCTTTGCTCATGTTTTGCATATTTAGATTTTGTTTTGTTTATTTTTGTTTATTTGTCGTTGCTTTAATTGTCATGTCTATGTGCACATTTTAGTTTTGTACTTGTTCACCTCATCACAATAAACAAAATAAATAAATAAATAAACATATATAAGGCATGCAGTGATGTCCATACCCTCCCACCAGTAGTTCTCAGCCACACATTTGTAAGTCTCCTCCAGGGAGAGGTGATGCTGGCTCGGCCGGCGCTTCCGGTGGAAGGTGGAGAGAGCCTCGTGTCTCCGGTCCTCATCCAGAACCTCCCGGTAGTTGATGAAACCCTTTTCCAGTTTTTTGCGGTACAGCAAGCCTTCTATCATCTCAAAGTTGGAGGACCACCGTGCAGGGGGTCCACGCCCTGCAGAAGAGTTCCCGGCTGCTGCCTCCATCTCTCCGGCTTCATCCGACCAGCAGGAGGCTTTGGCCGGAGTGAAGGCGTAATGCGCGGTGGTGTGTGCGCAGTCACCGGCCATGTTAACCGGCGTTCACTCCTCAAAGTGTTTATTTCTTTAGAAAGAAACTGTGAAGGTGCAACAGCTTCTTCAAGTCTTTGTTGGGGTCTCTTTAACAAAACCCCCTCTGCAGAGAGAGAGAGCCAAACTTCACCCACTGACCTGATCCACGTGGATGAGGTGACAACAAACAACAACAACAAACAACAACAAACCAGACACCCCTTCAATATGATCTATAAACACTCAATTAATCCCTGAAAATTAGTGGAAATGTTAACTAAAGGCTACGAGTCTAAACAGATATCATTATGGCTTAAAAAGAAGAAAGTCTCCATCAGGATGCAGGGGGGGGGGGGGGGGGGGGGGGGGTCCGCTTTGTACCGTCAGTCAGTCAGCATCACTTTAACTACCAACTAACATCTCAAATAAATCATCATAAACGTGTTCCGATGAGAGAACCTTCAGTCTGTGTCACTGTGTTGTTCACAGCGTCAGCAGAGAGGAAGAGTTCAGTCTGCAGAGGAATCAAACCAACTCATGTGAAAAAGTCTCCAGAACCGGACTGCACCCCCCCACCCCACCCGCCCGCCCCCCCCTCCTCCAGCAGAACCGCCTCCCCTCCGGTGCTCACGGGTCGGGAGTGGCCTCCTCCGGGTCGGGATGACGGCGGGCAGCCTCACCGCTGGCGTTAACTTCACATTTCTTTCCGCCAACTCGAGTAGGAAGCGACATGATGACGCAGCGAGCCGCTCAGCAGCGCCGCTTCGAAACGAGCCGGAGGAAAAAAAAAAAAAGCAGCGAGGCGACAAAACCCCGTTAAATGTCGCAATTCACGGCCGCTTCCGGTCAAAAAGATAAACCTTACACGCTTCTGGTTAAACACCCGACATAGTTGGTACCGCTCCCGGAGCCGTAGAACCGGAACAGCCCGTCAAATAGTCCAATTTCTAAACTCGTAACCTTCTGTTTGTTGCTAATCAGCAGCCTAACCGAGCTAAGTCCTTCCCCGCCTTCACACAAAGGCCATTAGTAGAAGCCCTAATGAGCCCCCCGCCAGACGGTCTGTGATTGGCCGACGGAGCTGTCAGTCAACTTAGGCAGCAGGGTAGGTTGTTCGCGCACGATGCCACTAGTATTTGTCTCACAGTCAAGTTAACCATGGTGCATCTTTCCTCTTGTGTTTATCAGTGACTAACAGATCATTGGTCAATTTAAGGTTTTACAGTTGAGATGTTTCTGGATGTTTATTCCACTGATCAGTTAGAAAAACATTTTATTTTCATGTTAAGATGTAATCTCAATGTCAGATAAATATGTTTATCAATAATCAGTTTGCAGTCTTTGTGGGTCCATTTGAACAACATTATTTAAATTCCCAAAACTAGAGATGTGTGGATCATACTGATACTGATGGAGCAGAAAGAATAACTCTCCTTTTATTTATGCTCTTATCTTAACTCCTCTTATGTTTTAACTTACTTACTTTGTCTATTTATGTTTTATATTTATATAGGCCCATACTTTTTTATTTTATAATTGATTCACTTGTTTCTCTTCCTGCTCTTTCCTTCTTATTGCTGTTCTCTTTTCATTTGCTTTTATCTCTTTTAGTTTCTTACATCTTTTTAAATCTTTGGTTCCTCTTGGTCTCAGCTCGTGTTCTTGGGTTCTTATGATGGTTCTTGTGATGGTTCTTGTGATGGTTCTTGTGATGGTTCTTATGATGGTTCTTATGATGGTTCTTGTGTTTCTTGGGTTCTTATGATGGTTCTTGTGATGGTTCTTGTGTTTCTTGGGTTCTTATGATGGTTCTTGTGATGGTTCTTGTGATGGTTCTTATGATGGTTCTTATGATGGTTCTTATGATGGTTCTTGTGTTGCCTGGGTTCTTATGATGGTTCTTGTGATGGTTCTTGTGATGGTTCTTGTGATGGTTCTTGTGATGGTTCTTGTGATGGTTCTTGTGTTTCTTGGGTTCTTATGATGGTTCTTGTGATGGTTCTTGTGTTTCTTGGGTTCTTGTGATGGTTCTTGTGATGGTTCTTGTGATGGTTCTTATGATGGTTCTTGTGATGGTTCTTATGATGGTTCTTGTGTTTCTTCGGTTCTTATGATGGTTCTTGTGATGGTTCTTATGATGGTTCTTGTGATGGTTCTTGTGATGGTTCTTATGATGGTTCTTGTGATGGTTCTTGTGTTTCTTGGGTTCTTGTGATGGTTCTTATGATGGTTCTTATGATGGTTCTTGTGATGGTTCTTGTGATGGTTCTTGTGTTTCTTGGGTTCTTATGATGGTTCTTGTGATGGTTCTTGTGATGGTTCTTATGATGGTTCTTGTGATGGTTCTTATGATGGTTCTTGTGATGGTTCTTATGATGGTTCTTGTGATGGTTCTTATGATGGTTCTTGTGTTTCTTGGGTTCTTGTGATGGTTCTTGTGATGGTTCTTGTGATGGTTCTTGTGATGGTTCTTGTGTTTCTTGGTTCTTATGATGGTTCTTGTGATGGTTCTTATGATGGTTCTTATGATGGTTCTTATGATGGTTCTTGTGATGGTTCTTATGATGGTTCTTGTGTTTCTTGGGTTCTTATGATGGTTCTTGTGATGGTTCTTGTGTTTCTTGGGTTCTTGTGATGGTTCTTGTGATGGTTCTTGTGATGGTTCTTATGAGGTTCTTGTGATGTTCTTATGATGGTTCTTGTGATGGTTCTTGTGTTTCTTGGGTTCTTGTGATGGTTCTTATGATGGTTCTTGTGTTTCTGGTTCTTATGATGGTTCTTGTGTTTCTTGGATTCTTGTGATGGTTCTTATGATGGTTCTTGTGATGGTTCTTATGATGGTTCTTGTGATGGTTCTTGTGTTTCTTGGTTCTTGTGATGGTTCTTATGATGGTTCTTGTGTTTCCTGGGTTCTTATGATGGTTCTTGTGTTTCTTGGATTCTTGTGATGGTTCTTATGATGGTTCTTGTGATGGTTCTTATGATGGTTCTTGTGATGGTTCTTATGATGGTTCTTGTGATGGTTCTTGTGATGGTTCTTATGATGGTTCTTATGATGGTTCTTGTGATGGTTCTTATGATGGTTCTTGTGTTTCTTGGGTTCTTATGATGGTTCTTGTGATGGTTCTTATGATGGTTCTTGTGATGGTTCTTGTGATGGTTCTTATGATGGTTCTTGTGATGGTTCTTGTGATGGTTCTTGTGTTTCTTGGGTTCTTATGATGGTTCTTGTGATGGTTCTTATGATGGTTCTTGTGATGGTTCTTGTGATGGTTCTTATGATGGTTCTTGTGATGGTTCTTGTGATGGTTCTTGTGATGGTTCTTGTGTTTCTTGGGTTCTTATGATGGTTCTTATGATGGTTCTTGTGATGGTTCTTGTGATGGTTCTTGTGATGGTTCTTGTGTTTCTTGGGTTCTTATGATGGTTCTTGTGATGGTTCTTATGATGGTTCTTGTGATGGTTCTTGTGATGGTTCTTATGATGGTTCTTGTGATGGTTCTTGTGTTTCTTGGGTTCTTATGATGGTTCTTGTGATGGTTCTTATGATGGTTCTTATGATGGTTCTTGTGATGGTTCTTATGATGGTTCTTATGATGGTTCTTGTGATGGTTCTTGTGATGGTTCTTATGATGGTTCTTGTGATGGTTCTTGTGTTTCTTGGGTTCTTGTGATGGTTCTTATGATGGTTCTTATGATGGTTCTTGTGATGGTTCTTGTGATGGTTCTTGTTTCTTGGTTCTTATGATGGTTCTTGTGATGGTTCTTATGATGGTTCTTGTGTTTCTTGGGTTCTTGTGATGGTTCTTGTGATGGTTCTTGTGATGGTTCTTGTGTTTCTTGGGTTCTTATGATGGTTCTTGTGATGGTTCTTATGATGGTTCTTGTGATGGTTCTTATGATGGTTCTTGTGTTTCTTGGGTTCTTATGATGGTTCTTGTGATGGTTCTTGTGTTTCTTGGGTTCTTATGATGGTTCTTGTGATGGTTCTTGTGATGGTTCTTGTGATGGTTCTTATGATGGTTCTTGTGTTTCTTGGGTTCTTGTGATGGTTCTTGTGATGGTTCTTGTGATGGTTCTTGTGTTTCTTGGGTTCTTATGATGGTTCTTGTGATGGTTCTTATGATGGTTCTTGTGATGGTTCTTATGATGGTTCTTGTGTTTCTTGGGTTCTTATGATGGTTCTTGTGATGGTTCTTGTGTTTCTTGGGTTCTTATGATGGTTCTTATGATGGTTCTTGTGATGGTTCTTGTGATGGTTCTTGTGATGGTTCTTATGATGGTTCTTGTGATGGTTCTTGTGTTTCTTGGGTTCTTGTGATGGTTCTTGTGATGGTTCTTGTGTTTCCTGGGTTCTTATGATGGTTCTTGTGTTTCTTGGATTCTTGTGATGGTTCTTATGATGGTTCTTGTGATGGTTCTTATGATGGTTCTTGTGATGGTTCTTATGATGGTTCTTGTGATGGTTCTTGTGTTTCTTGGTTCTTATGATGGTTCTTGTGATGGTTCTTGTGATGGTTCTTATGATGGTTCTTATGATGGTTCTTGTGATGGTTCTTATGATGGTTCTTGTGATGGTTCTTATGATGGTTCTTGTGTTTCTTGGGTTCTTATGATGGTTCTTGTGATGGTTCTTATGATGGTTCTGTGATGGTTCTTGTGATGGTTCTTATGATGGTTCTTGTGATGGTTCTTGTGATGTTCTTGTGTTTCTTGGGTTCTTATGATGGTTCTTGTGATGGTTCTTATGATGGTTCTTGTGATGGTTCTTGTGATGGTTCTTGTGATGGTTCTTGTGATGGTTCTTGTGTTTCTTGGGTTCTTATGATGGTTCTTGTGATGGTTCTTATGATGGTTCTTGTGATGGTTCTTGTGATGGTTCTTGTGTTTCTTGGGTTCTTATGATGGTTCTTGTGATGGTTCTTGTGATGGTTCTTGTGATGGTTCTTGTGTTTCTTGGGTTCTTATGATGGTTCTTGTGATGGTTCTTATGATGGTTCTTGTGATGGTTCTTGTGATGGTTCTTGTGATGGTTCTTATGATGGTTCTTGTGTTTCTTGGGTTCTTATGATGGTTCTTGTGATGGTTCTTATGATGGTTCTTGTGTTTCTTGGGTTCTTATGATGGTTCTTGTGATGGTTCTTATGATGGTTCTTGTGATGGTTCTTGTGATGGTTCTTGTGATGGTTCTTGTGTTTCTTGGTTCTTATGATGGTTCTTGTGATGGTTCTTGTGATGGTTCTTATGATAGTTCTTGTGATGGTTCTTGTGTTTCTTGGGTTCTTATGATGGTTCTTGTGATGGTTCTTGTGATGGTTCTTATGATGGTTCTTGTGTTCTT